CAACAAGTAAAATATTTGGGGGAAATTCTTGATAAAATTAAATCAGAGTTTGTAAAAAATAAAGTTCCTTGATTGTTAATTTTGAGATATCTTTTTTGTCATCCACAAGTATCAGTGGATTTCATAACTCATTTTATTAATACAACTCATTTTAGACTGTGATTTTTTCTATATGCTGTCCTTTTTCTCTTCTTGAGTTTATCTAATTGAGTCGATATTCCTAATTTCTTTGTACTACTTAAGCAACACATTAATGTTATTTTAAGAGAAACAATTATAAGTCTATCTCCCTCTGATCCTACTTCTTTAGTGCCACATAGATAATGAAGTTAGTTTATTTGGTAGACAAACATTAATAATCAGTCAACACATCAATTACAAAACATAAGCATGTGTAAAGAAAGGACTCTGATTTTTAGTTGTAGAGAGGCCATCTCAAAATATGGACTTTGAAGAAAGAATGGTTGTCACCTATGAAAAATGGTGAAGTCTCTCCTTTAAGGGCACCACCTTCACTGAATATGGCAGACATGATGCTATTATCTCGTTTCAATGGGAAAGATGTACTCAAACTAACTTAAATCAATACAAACCATTTGACAATGTCAACTTTTATGACCACCCTAACTTTCCCAATCTTCTCTCAAATGTTTTGTGCTCTAGCCGAAGATGATCTTTGGAATTGTGAGCGTAAATTACTCACTTTGTCTATCACTTTGTATAGGAGAGACATACTGAACTTCACATGTGCAGAATATTCCATCTATATTACAATAACTTAAATTCTATAATTTAACCATTCATTTGTCTATTTGATAGAAGTATACTTAGGACTATACTGTAAAGAATCCCAAAGGATCTCATTGGTGGCCATATAAGAGTTTCTCTCTCTGGGTACTGTTCTTTTGTACCAACTTTTTCTATATTGTCAGTGACTAGCTTGCTTACCATCAAGAGCTTTTCTAAAACAAATAGTCATGACCTTTTTAATTAGTTGCCAGAAGTATCTCTCAGTCACAGTTATGACAGGCAACAATAAATCTAGAGATTGATGAATATCCCAGGGTCAAAGCAGAGAACACCAGTCTCTTTCTCCTCTAATCATCTTCAGACACTTATTCTAAATCACAGAGGCAATTTCCATGTCATTTAAGAACATAGATGGATTTTAAGGTCATTATGCTAAGCAAAATAAGTCATATTGAAAAAACTCAATACTGCCTGGTATCACTGATATGTGAAATCTAAAAATAAGATCAGTTACCTAAAAGTAAAATACAGAAAGTAAAACAATGGATGCCAAAGGCTGAGAATGGGCAAATTATAAAGTTTGGTTAGAGTTCACAGTATTAGATACAGGATTTAAAGAAGAAAATAAGACCTAAATAATCATATCATTATGACTATTTTATATACTTGGCATTGTATATTTGAAATATTGTATCTTAAATATTAATATAGTTACAACATCAACACTCTCAGCAACAGAAAAATTAAACATAAGTAAACCAGATTTGTAGGATCTAATATTGTACAGCATCATTATGTTTTTTTTTCTCTGAAGTTTGTAATAATACTTTAGCTGACACAAATAAATATGTGCTTCTATTTCTCAGTCTTTTTAATTAATGGGGTAAGAGGACAGGCTAAAGTTAGGATAGAGAAGGAACCAGCATGACAGTGATAGTTGAAACTATCACTCTGGACAAATACTGAATGATGAAAGTAGGTAAAGTGATATGGATGATATCCTTTCAATACCAGTATTGCAAACCATAATGCAAAAGGAAAGAGAAAGAGAGAGAGAGAGAGAGAGAGAGAGAGAGAGAGAGAGAGAAGAAAAGTGCCTGCCATAGAAGCAGACAAGGAGGTTGGGTGGGGGTGGAGGGCAGGCTGTGTAGAGAGCAAAAGGGAAACTAGGGACTTTGATGGTAGGAAATTTACACTGATGAAGGAACAGGTGTTGCAACATTATATGAAACCCAATCGTGAAGAACTTTGTAACTGCATATCTCATGATGATTAATTAAAAAGCAAAATTGATCACTTTCAGCAAACTGATGAAAAAATAAATAGAAAACTTTAAAGTTGTTTCCAGTCTTATTATTTTTTGTGTGGGGGGAGGGGCAGGAGAATGGAGTGTCTTCTCAAGCAGTGCTCAGGGGATCTGGGAGGTTTAGCCAGTGACTCTCTACCTTGGTTACAGCAGTTCAGTGCAAGGACTTAAGAAGGTAATTCTACCTGGGCACTGCAGTGGTGCCCATATGTCTCCAGGGCTTTATCTAGTGATACTGAGAATACCACTAAATGGTACTGATGGTCAAACTATGATCAGTCTATGCAAGGAATATAGCGTCCCTAGTCTCCATTCTTCCCCAATTTTGCTATTTCTTAATAGAAATGTTTGCAATGAGTAATATAACAACATAATTATTTTCACTATCTACTTCCTTTAAAAGAAAAAAAAATTAATAAATTCTTATCAGATAAATATGTAAATGTATGTCAATAAAATATTAAATGCACAAATAAGTTTACTAGCAAAAATGTTAAATCAAATCTAAAATTAAAATGTCATTATTTAACTAAGGTATTTAATTTTTTTAACAAAATGACTAAGAATCTAACTATCAATATAAATGCTTCTTATTTCTTCGTGGAGTTATGATTACTATAAGGGAAATTTTGAGAGAAAAAACTCATTACAAATCACTCACAGACAATAATTCACATATTTGACTATTTTGTATGTTAGTTTTAGGATGTTTTTAGTCACATAAATGACATGACATGTTGAGGAGATTTTTTTCCCTCCCCCTCAGTGCAAGTTTTAATTAGGAACTTGCAAGGCATAGCCAGATGTTTTAACCTATTTAACACATTAGAAAGAGGGAAGTCACAGCTGCAAAAAGATCCACCAGGAAAGAGAGGAAGCTCAAATGCTGACATCAGCTCTCAGTCAGCAGTGAGCCAAAGGAGAAGCTGACAAAGGTTCACTGAGGAAATCATAAGAGATTCCTAGAAAAACAATGATGTAGGAAATGGAGAATTTTTTTTAATTTTTGTTTTTTGCTTTTTGGGTCATACTCAGAGATGTACAGGGGTTACTCCTGGCTCATGAACCCAGGAATTGCTCCTGGTGATGCTGGGGAACCATATGGGATGCTGGGAATTGAACCCAGATAGGCCACCTCCAAGAAAAATGCCCTCCCCACTGTGCTATTGCTCCAGCTCTTGATGTAGGAAATGAAACAATAGATGGGAAAAGTGAACAGGTAAATAGCCCCAAGAAGCATTTCTTTATTGTGATGTGTGTAAGAATTACATGGGGACAAGTTCAACATGGAGATTTTGATTTAGAAAGTCTAGAGGAGAACCTGAGGGTCTGTGTTTCTAATAAATTCAGGCTATCACTCACACTATAGGTTGATTCAGACACTGCACTTGAGTGACAGGATTCTGAATTACCTTGGATGCAAAAAAGCATATCTCTGGAAGCAGAAGAGCCAATTTTGTTTTATCAAAACATCTATGTAATTAGCAAGTTAAGCAAATTTACTATTGCAAAATTTGCAATAATTATGCAAAAGTTTTCAATAATGTTACATGCTTTCTTAAAAGAAAAATTCTAGGTAGAATGCTTCTTTGATATGCAAGTTAATTTATTTTTTCTCAAAATGCACATAAATCTGTATTGGTAAAATCTGTATCAGTTTCTATGGTATGTTATATTATGAAGTAGTGAAAAATTCAAAATTTGAAACTCAAAGTTGAAGTCAGTTTTAACTATGGGATGAGTAATTTTTAATGTGTTTTCCAGCATATTCCTGAGTTTCTATTCTCTCATTGTAATGGCCCAAGGTGTGCTTTTATTCTAATCATTTGATTCATTTTACACCTATGGGAAAATCAAATCCTGGCTTACTTCATATTCTCCTGTCCAAGGCAACTAAGTTCTGATTATGTGATAGATTTTGGCATTGTGTCAATGTCAAGGTGTACCAGGAAGAGAAACAGACACAAAGATGACAGATAGATGAAGTATCCATGATGTAAAACATCCCTTGGTTGAAGAGGAAGTTGGTAGTATCATAAAAAATTAGTATCTTTAGACATAAGAATTCAATAACTAAGCACCAATACCATTAGGAAATAATTATAATTTCTTTTAAAAGAACTAGTGTGGAAGGGAGGAAAGTGTTCCTATGACAAATATTTCAAAGAAGAACTTTGTATTTTTTATAATGAAAGCCAAAATATAGTTAAGTATTTATTACACAATTATGCAAAATCAATTTCTCAAATGTATGACCCTTATTTTCAGAAAAAGAAATCAATAAAAAGTAAGTTTTCTTACACAAATATCTAATCACAAAAATTTGATTCACTCTAACTGTTAAACATTTTAATGATCTGTCTTTAGCATATAAAAATTTACAATGTAAAGACAGAAAGATATTATTCTTAAAATATTCCATAGTTGTAAACTGCTACATACAAGTTGTAGGCATTTTATATAGTGATTTTGGAACTAGTGTTTCTAAATATATTGACAAATACTATTGATTTGACTATTGACAAATATACATTCTACTTTAGAAGAAATAGTTACTGAGGTTGTTTTTAAAACTACAATTGTAAGGGCTACTATTTCCAAATAAACACTTTCCATATGAGTTGAAAATTTGGGATGTTTTTGTTCACATATTCTATCACATAGCATAAAATTTCAATGTAGCACACTTGATAATCTTAATGATTCCAATAAATTATGACCCTGATTCATTAGTCCAACTAATTTTTAATTCAGAAAAAATCAAAACTGTGAACAGCTTTATTCAACACACATGTTGGAATTGCTAATCCACATATTCAATAAACTGCAAAACTTAAAAGCACTAGAATTACAGAAGTTTCCCGTTAATAAACATACTACTTAAGAACATTCCCTATTAAGAGAAACAATGGATAGAATGATTTTCATATTTCACTTAACTCACCCCATGTGATGGATAAGAGATCCAGCCTAGTTCCCCTTGAATTGTCTTTGAATCTAGTAGATTGACTGAAATAAAACAAAAATATAAATGCATAATTAAAGAAGACAGTCTTTCTATTTGCTTCTGTCAAGTTAATGCTATCTGTTGTTGTTGACAATATAGCATACTAAAATATGATTGTTCATTTCATTATAAATAAAAATCATAGAAGAAAAATTAACAAAGATCATGAAAGAAAAATTTTCTCTCTTCTTTTTTATTTTTATCTTTGGCTCACACACAGCTGTGCTCAGGACTTCTTGGATGTGCTAAGGGGATCCTGTGCAGTGTCAGGGATCAAACGTATGTCCACCACATGCAAAGCAAGTGTCTTAACTACTGATGCCAAATTTTCACTTTTAACTTCTTATGCCTGCTTGTGAAGCTTGTATAATATTCAATATATTGGGTATAATTTTGATAAAATAATTACAAGTTTAAGAAATAATCCAAATCAAAATAATTAACAGTATAAATTTTTTCCGAGACCATCAATTTAATATATTACATACAACTTTATGAATCATGATTCATATTGTACATATATATAATTATATATTACATATGGTAAATATTAAACACGTTTTATGTGTATTTTCACATACTTTGTCTATATATGTCTATATATTCGTCTATATATGTATAGGATAATGTTTAAGTTGAAGGGCTACACCTATGGAGAATATATCACAGCAAGGATTTCCGTAATGAAATCAGTTAACAACTATATTCCTCCACCATTTTTTCACTGGAGAATAAATAATCTATCCAAATATACTTTCATTTTTAAAGAAATTTGCCCCAAAATTTGTGTGATTGACTGAAAAGGTTGTAAGTAAGAGTACAAATAATGTGTACTCAAAATAAAGAATTTCAGAACCAGTATGGGGTGTAACTTGTAGATAAAGTCGGGGAGTCTCAGGACTTTGGGTGCAATCAATGTTTAGGACCATAAGAATCCCCATTAAGGAAGAAACAATCCATTTGGCCATTGAAAACTGGCTATAACAATGAAGTTCTGAACCTCAATAAATTTGGTAGACATAGATTGGAAGCCATATAGCCTTCTCCCAACACCATCATTGCTGAGCCTTTATCGCCACCATAAATCATGACCACAAAACAAGTCCAACACATGAGCTAGTAGAGACAGTTCATTGTAACCAAAATAAGGAACGTGCTTAGACTTTGAGATACTGAAAGTTTCCCGGACACAGTAAGAACTTAAACTGACAATAGAGGATCCACATATCTGACCAAGGTGGAGAGCTAGAGCTATACAAAGAGTATCAGTGGTTTTAGCAACCATAACATGACAGTGGGAGCCCTTTCCTTTTGAGTTATTAAAGCTAAGTCCATGTAGCTGTTATTTACTTAAAAAAAGGTTCTGTGGTATATAAGTGGTTAACCTAATAGTGAGTTTAAAATAACCATTATAATAGAGTCAATCCTTTTCAAACTCTTCAAAGAAGTCAAAGATACAGAACACTGAAACAATTTCTTTGAGGCAAAACAATACCTTGATACCAAAATCAGACCAAGACACTACTTAAAAGAAAGCAATAGACCTATAATTGATGGATATAGATGCAAAGATCCTAAATAAAATACTACGAAACCAAGTCCAAAAATGAATAAAAAATATCATAAACTATGAGCAATTTATGATATTGAAACTAGAGATTCAAGGAGTCTTAGTATATGCAAGCAAATGAATATACTGTATCAATATAAGGAAAAATGATGATCACATATCAATATCAATAGATGCAGAAAAAATTATTTAATAAGATCCAACACATGTTCATGATACTCACAATAAAATAGAGATAGAGGAAAAATTCTTGAATACAATTAAAGTCATTAACCACATACACATTGCTCTCAACACTCACACTCAATGGTGAAAAAAAAACCTGAAAGCAACACCATGCTCAATGGTCAAAAATTTGAAAGCCTTTCCTCTAAGATCAGACACATGAAAAGATTGCCCACTCTCACTAGTATCATTCCATGTAATATTGGAAATGTTTTCCATAGAAACTCTTAAGAAAGAGTTATTAAAGTCATTCAGATTTTCAAAAGTCAAACTAAGACTATTTCCAGATATTGCACTTAGAAAACCCTAAAGTCTCCTACCAAAAAATACCTAGAAACAATAAATGTATATAGTAAAGTGGAAAATCCAAAATCAATTTGAAAAATTCATGGCATATCTATATGCAAACAATAAAAGAGAAAGAGAGAATCTTTTAAAAATTTCACTGAACCTCAGTCACATCTAAAAAAAATGAATTCAGACCTATTTTTTGCACCATGCACAAAAGCCAATGCAAACTTTATACCTGTATTCACAAATTATATCAAGAACAGCATCAAGATGCTGAATCTACAGACATCAACAATGATTCGGTTCCATGGGCCAAGTAAATGGAAGCAAAATAAACAAATGAGGCTACACCAAATTGCAAAATTTTCACACTTTAAAATAAACAATGACCAGAAGCAGAGGTATCTTTATCAACAAAATAAAAGTTTAAGAAAATTCTTAATAAAGATTCTGTATACCAATAGTACAATTGATATAATAAAAAAAACTCATTGTAAAGCATAACAAAAAAGCTCAATATGACAGAAGAGAGAATTTTGAAAAAAATTAGTAGGGAATCAAATAAGATATTTAGAAAAAAATTAATAAACCTCTTGAGAACTGAAATAATTAATTAGAATAGGAAACATACAGATAACATATATACCAGGAAGTGAGAACAAAACAAAATACCTGTTAAGGAAAGAATAACTGAGAACTCCCCAAACTTAAGGAACAAACTAATAATGATAAACAGGATGCAGAGCAAACACCAAATTCCAAATGCAAAACACACAACTGTTAAATTACCAAAAGTCAAATTACAAAAACACATTTAAATTTGAGTACGGAAAACTATGGACCATACAAAATACCTAATCAGACTATCATCATATTCCTCTACAGACTAAGAGAAGTGGATAACAAATTCACAATAGTAAAGGGGGAAAAAAATTCTAGTCAAGAAAACTCTACAAAGTTAGCATCCAAATATGAAAGAAAGGCTCCTAAACAACTCATGGTAGAGCATCTGCTTTCATGTATAGATAACAAGTTTAATCTCAAACATTGCCCTACATGAAGATAACATTGGCTATTTCCTTCCTCCCTGGCCACTGGGAGCTTGTGTTTGTTGATTGCCCCAAAATCTGTCAATTATCTTTGTCTCCTGATCAGACTCTGATTTGTAAATATTGTCTTTCTCCTCCTTCTCCTTAATGTCCTTTGCCTGGTTGGTTATTTCAGAGCAATTGCTTTTTCTATGGATACAGGAAGACAGTTAAGAAGACTAGCCTGTGACTTGGGAGTTGATTGACTCAAGATAATATTATATCCTGGACGTCTGCTCTCTCAACTTGACTCAGTCTCAGTTGTCCTTACTTTCTAGATCCCCCAAAGCAAGGTCCTGACAAGAGTCTGGATGGACCCAGGGCAAGCAGTGAGCTACGAGCTATCCTGGCATCAAAATGGTCCTGGCCAAAGAGCCATAATGCTTAGCTGTAAGTTAGGAACCTGGTCATGGACAAATTCTCTCATGATACAAAAATAGTAACTAGATTTGGACCCTGCTGGGGTTAGAAATGATTGATCTGGGCCTGAGCACTCTAGTCTGAGTCTGTGGTGAGATGTCCCCAGGACAGTCATTCTACATGCCTAAAAGTGTCTATTACTGTGTCCATACAGAATGATACATATTAGGAAGTAGAATTAAAGAAGTTAATTAAGTTGCAGGTCCAAGGTGAGAAAACACATTTTAAGGGCTATTTTGCCCTTGTAGGCTGCAGGTGGGAGGGGAGACTGGGAAAACATTTTTGATCACACTCCCCCTGGAGAGGCAGGGTTGGGGAAGGGTGGCAAGAGGATAAAAGAAAGTGGTTGCAGGGAGAAAGAAAATTGAAGGTGAGGGGATTGATGGGGAAGGAGAGAAGGAAACAGAGAGACAGCAGAGAAAGGGAGAGAGAGAGCTAGAGGAGAAGATTACAGTGGGAAGAAAGAATTGAGTGGTTAGAGAGAGATAAACACAGACAGATAGAGAGAAGGTTGGAGAGAGCTGGAAGAGAGACAATAGATTGAATAAATGGCAACTAATCAGCAACCAGCTCGGCCCTTGTTCTTTCTTCCTCCGGCCAAGGCAACAGCCATCCCAGGTGGAGAAGCGGCTCAAGAGCACCAAACACAGGTGGCTCGAGAGAGCCTCCTGGAGAACATTTCGAACATCTGTTCATGTGTAATCCCCAAGCAAAGGAGTTTACACAGCTCGGAGTGCATGAGGGGGTTACATGTCACTGCTCTTCATGATCCATGGGATCGAAATTTGTGATCTCTTGTATATTGCAACCAAATATGTCTGAGGCACAATGAAATGTCTGAATACTTGCAAATACAACAATAGAGTGTGAAACCTCTAGTGACTGCATTAATGACAACAATAATAACAGGAATGGATGAGAAACAAACAAGTAAATTTAAGTATGATAGTGAATAAGACTTTTCCAATAAGCAAGTTTTATGCAATATATCACTGCTAATCTTTCACTACAAGAAAAACTTTGAAAAATTTTCTTTCATAGAAAAATTACAATAACAAAACCATAAGTATGCTGTTAAGTACATATATGTATGTACATACACATATATATATATGAAACATCTAAATAAAATGGGCTAACAGCAAAATATTAAGGAAATGGGGGAAATGTAGAGGAATTTGCTTAATGTAAGCACAATAAATTAATGCCAGCACACAAAAAAACACAATCTTAGATAGATGTGAATTGAATCAAACTTCATGGGAACCAAAATAACAAGAATCTGTAGCAGGGTCACTTAAAAAATATAATTAAAACAATTGGTATACTCTGCAGGAAATATACTCAAAGAATAAAACAAATAGGAATAACTGTAAAAGAAAAAATTATAAGGAAAAGAAGTATTCCA